TTTTCCATTCAATTTTAGGGAAAGTGGAAAAGAGAGGGAAAGACAGAGAGAAACATTGATGTGAGAGAAACAATAGGTTCCTCCTGCATGAGCCCAGACAAGGGCCCAGGTGGGGGAAGAGCCTGCAACCAAGGTATGTGGCCTTGATTGGAGTTGAACTTGGACCCTTTGGTCCACAGATTGACAGACTATCCACTGATCCAAACTGGCTAGATCTCTTAAAATTATTTTTTAAGAGGAAAATGTACAACACAGCACATAGTAGTCTCACATTATATTATGAAACTATTAAAATCTAATGAGTGTCTATATGCTTATATATTGCAAATGATTAGTATTTTTTTTTTTTTTGGTAGATATGATGACTAGAACTGTGAGCCAAGGTGTTTTTCCCCAAGGTCACGTCTCCCATCTCGGAAGAATGAGCTACACAGACCAGAAGATTTAAGGAAAAGTATGGAAAATGTATTACAAGCAGATTCACACTCCCTGCAAGGGGAGTGGGACCCAATAGTGCGCTGCCCGGTAAAGCCTTGCAGTCCAGGGGTATATACTGGTATTTGCAACAAGCCATCTGTATGTCCATCTGTGTCGTCACCAGATTGATTCTCTGAATTGTTTTTGCCCAGCAACAGCCCTGACTTTCCCTGTTTCTATGTGTTCTTTCTCTGTTCCTACGCTGAACTTTTTCTGTTTCTATGTGTTCATACGTCTTGGTTACTGCAGGCCCTCCCTTGGTTTCCCATGCCTCCTGCTTTGAGTCCACAAACATTTCATGGTTTCTGCTGGGTTGGTTCCTGTGGTTCGGCTGCTCAAACTGCCATGTCTGCCCCCGCCTATGTTTCACCTGCCTTTGTTTTCCACTGGACCCTGCCCTACCTGCCTGCATTTCAACTTAACCCTCTCCCATACAGAAGACAGGTAAGGATGGGCAGGCAGGAAAGGTATAAGGAGGTTGGGTGACCTCTCTCCAAGGTGAGAGCGCAATTTGCTTTCCAGTGTGTTCTACTTAACAAGTGATTTCTATTAAATTTATCTATATTGTTCTAATTTTTAAAATGCTTCCCATAAAATAAACCTAAATGATGTTCATTGGAAAATAGTTACAATCCAGGTGTTAGTTTTGCTCACCCTGTTTGGACACAGCCATTCCTGTGGAGGAAGTCCTCAAGCCACATGATCTCTGTTGTCTGGAGGGTCAGGTCCCTCATAGTGGGGACTCTGGTGTGATCTGTGCACCCAGGCTTCTGTCTCAGGGCCACACATCTACTGAGAGCTCATAAAATGTTTGCTGGATGGCCCTAGCCGGTTTGGCTCAGTGGATGGAGCATGAAGATTCCGGGGTTCGATTCTGCTCATGGGTAGATTCCTTGGTTGCAGGCTT